CCCACAATGCTCACAGAATGCCCCTGTGTCCATTGGTTCTTGGCTGTGGGCATCTAACCCCAAGGTCACCACTGAGACAGTCCGTGCACGCTGCATCCTCCTTGTGCTCTCCACCAGGCCTCAAGTCACTCAGGTCTTTCAACTACCTCTGGAGGCACAGAAACCTTTCCTTGTGCCTTAAGGAGCTCTGTAGGTGCAACAGTTAAGCATTCAGCTGCTAACCAAAAGGTTGGCAGTTTGAACCAACCCAGCCACTGTGAGAGAAAGACCTGGCAATCTGTTTCTGTGAAGATTTCAGCCTAAGAAACCCTATAGGGTTGTTTTACTCTGTCAAATGGAGTTGGTATGAGTCAAAATCGACTTGACAGCATCTAATAACAACAACTAAAGCTATAGGAGACTGGGGGAGAGGCAGTTATTTTTATCCTCTTGCCTAGACATGCCTTTCAACTTCCGAGGGTTCTATTCAGAAATGATTTCCTTAAACGTATCTGGAAGTTCTAGAATTTCCCATCCGCCACCACCACTTTTGTGGGGTGGCATGAGAAATCTTCACCAGCATCTAAAACTCCTGCTCTCCTTGCTGGCTCCCTTCTCTTCAGCCCAGAGAGCTCTTCTCTCCTCTCTCAGAGGTGGTGGCAGTGGTAGTGATACAGTTTAGAGAATGGCAAGTCTTCCAACTGGGCTGAACATGGGCCAGGTGTGAAAAAGTTGTGGAGATCAGGCTGGAAGATCAGATAGGGATGAAATTGTGGGGAGCCTTGGGTGCAATGGGGAGCCATAGACAATTACAGAGCAAGATAACTGCAGAACAAAGACTGAGAGCTGTAATCAAGGAAGAATAATGTACTGGTAGTGGAAGAATAATCTACTGGTAGTGTGGGTCTTCGTGAAATGTGTTTGCAACATACTTGGGAGAACAACAATATTCAAAGAAGAAAAGCACATGCATTAAAAAACAAAGCAACAACAATAACAATAAACTCTCATTTTCTGGACTTAAAAATAAAGCAAGAGAAGTCATATATATTTGAACAAACTAAAACGTATGATTGGATTAATTATGTGAGTTATTAATCACATAATTAATATGTGATTAAATATGGAAGTTAATTTTGTCTGAATTAGTTTATCCATGGCAATTTCAGGAACTTTAAACTAATGGGTTGTATCAAATTATATGAAACGCACTCAAAACAAGCCTCCCCAATTTTACTTTTCATTTTTCCTCACCACCACCGCCTGAGGGAAGGAGAGGGGCATGATTTAGTCTGCTTGACTCTTGTATACCAGTTCTCTAACAGATTATTAGCATATTAAAAGCAGTAATTTAGAGTACAGAACTTGCTTTCCGAGGACAGAGTAGCTGTAAGTCTACAGAATCTACGGCACAGGGTTCGTTTTTGTTGTTTTTTAGGATACAACGAATTTCAAAGTGCAGCGTCAGAGAGATAGAGCGCACAACGAGGACTGGAGAAGGATGAAGGACTGGTCTGGCGTGGGCCTGGGGAACATCAGGTAAGTCTTTGACCCCCAATGTGAATTTTGAGGGACGGGCATTCCAGCGCTGTGGGAACGGCATGTGGAAATCAGGGAAGCATTAAATTGCTGCAGCATAAAGTAGGAGTGGTTGGAACTTCAGCCTGAGAAGGGGATGGGCGGGGGAAGGATTACCCAATAAGGAAGGTAAGTAAGCTCGTGCTTAGGGCATCAAAAAAACAGAGGCGCCAGTTGTCCAAAGCGAAGACCCGGAGATGCCAAGCAGACAGGACACAAGGAAAAGCAAGTGCCACAGGGGAAGAGAACTGGCAGGGCACTAAATAAAACTGATAACAGCTCCAGGGCATGAGAACGTTCCTGCTAGAAATAAAGTTCACGAAGGTCACGAGGGCGCCCATGCACAAGGTTGTTTAAGCTATGAGGCCCCTACCATTTCAACATCTTCGTTGACATCTGTCTCCTACAGTCCCCTCCCTTGTAATCGAAACTCCTTATCTCTGACGGTCTCTTGGGAGTATACTATTTCTTTCTCTAATAAACAAGAGGTGGGAGTGATCAACAGAATTTTACGTTGATTGTTGAAACCACTAAATTCACTGACTCATTTTCTTTGTTGTAGAATATGTGGAATATTTTTTTTGTAGAAAATGTGTTATATAGTAAAAATCTTAGTATCTTGCATCTACTAAAAATTTTATAATCCAGTTCATTTCATTCCACTAAAATGACATACGCCACTTTTGCATTCAATTGCCAATATTACAGTCACATTTAAAAAGAAGTTACATCCTGGATAGCTAAGACACACATATACATGTATATATACACATATAACTCCCATATTCCATTAGAATGTGTAAGCAGAGGAGGGGCACCACAAATTATCAGTGTTCATCACATGCCTTAATCCAGCCCTGGGTATAGGGATGAAATCAGGCAGGGACTGGTAACCCAAAACCAAACCCACTGCCGTTGAGTCGATTTCAACTCATAGCAACCGTATAGGACAGAGTAGAACTGCCCCACAGGGTGTCCTAGGCAGTAATTTTTACAGCAGCAGATTGCCAGGTCTTTCTCTCGAGGAGCTTCTGGGTAGCTTCGAACAGCCAACCTTTAGGTTAGCAGCTGAGTGTTTAACCACTGTGCCACTAGGGCTCCTTAAGGGACTGGTAGGTGGGCTAAGAAATTTGGGATAGGTAGGTCTCTTTCTCTAAGGGTGGTCCTGATCCACCCAGATCAGAACCATAGAAGATGCTTGCTAAATTCAAATTGGGGGTGGGCCCTAGAATCTGCTTTTAAATAAGCTTCCCAGGTGACTCTTATGCAAAGGTGTAAGAAACCTGTACCATATACTGTAAATAGACAGTGAGTGCCATTAAGTAGGGGAACTTTACTCTGGAGAGTGAATTTGAGGACTTGCTTAGGAAAGAGGCTGACAGTAGGGGAAGAATGGAGAAGGTTTCACTGGAGGGTTACGATGCCTAGAGTTCACCCTTACCGGTTGCCATCGAGTCTTCCAGCATAGGCTCAGTCTCAACAAAGTCTTTCCTGACCTCATCCCATTTTCCTTTAAGATCCAGTATGGCGGTTCAAACCCACCCAGTGGCACTTTGCTAGAAAGGCCTGACAATCTGCTCCCATAAAGATTGGAGTCCTGGTGGCCCTGTGGTTAAGCGTTCGGCTGCAGAACAAAAGGTCGGCAGTTCAAATCCACCAGCCACTCCTTGGAAACCTAACCCTATGGGGCAGTTCCACTCAGTCATACAGGGTCTATGTGAGTCAGAATTGACTGAACGGTACACAACAACACCAACAACACTTCATTTGGAGTCTCTGGGTGCCCCAAACCGTTAAGCAATGGGCTACTAACGAAAAGGTTGGTACTTGGAACCCACCCACCCAGAGGTACTTCTGAAGGAAAAGTCATAAGCATGAAAACCTTATGGAGCAGACCCACGTGTCCGAGGTTTTTGGTTTACTATTTCATTTGTACTTTAAAAACACAATTTCTTTTTTAAACATTCTTGGGTTTTCCCATCCTGTTTTCTACATTTCAAGCTCCTTGAAAGCTTGGCCATTTCTTTGAATGAAAAGTTGTGTGACTTCTGATATACCTATTACCGTCTAGTGGATTCTGACCCATAACGACCCTATAGAACAGTAGAACTGCTCCCTAGGGTTGTCAAGACTATAAATCTTACAGAAGCAGACTGCCACATCTTTCTCCAGAAGAGCCGCTGGTGGGTTGGAACCCCTGACCTTTCGGTTAGCAGCAGAGCTCTATAACCACTGCACCACCAGGGCTCCTATCACTCATCAGCAAACCAAAACCAAACCCATTGCCATGGAGTTGATTCCGACTCATAGAGACCCTATAGAACAGAGTAGAACTGCCCCATAGGGTTTCCAAGAAGCAGCTGGTGAATTCGAACCGAGGACCTTTTGGTTAGCAGCTGTACCTCTTAACCACTATGTCACCACGGCTCCTCACTCGTCATATGAAAAAAGCCAAACCAAACCTGTTGTCGAGTGGATTCACACTCCTAGCGACCCTATAGGACAGAGGAGAACTGCCTCATAGGGTTTCCAAGGAGCGCATGGGGGGTTCTAAATGACGATCTTTTGGTTAGCAGCGGTAGCTCTTAACCACTAAGCTTCCAGGGTTTCCTCACTCATCTCACAGAGGTGAGTAAATTCAGGCTGCCAATGAAGGCTGCCTCCGCAGTATCCTTTTTGTGCAGTATTTTTACTCAAAGTTTTTTCTTCTTGTTTGTTTTCACTACCCCGTCTTCGTCTCCTACTATATTTAATCCTTGTTTAGAAAGCCCTGTTTGTGCAGTGCTAAGCTCTCTGCTGCTAACCGACCAGGTGCTCCGCCAGGGAAAGATGTGGCAATCTGCTCCCCTAAAGATTACAGCCTTAGAAACTCTACGGAGCAGTTATACTCTGTCCCATAAGGTCGCTATGAGTCGAATCCACTCGATGGCAGCCGTGGGTACACCAGTCCCGCGTGTAGGAGGAAACCAGAATTTCTGAAGCAGTTACTTACTTAGCGGCGTGGAGAGGGAGGCTCCGCTCCTAGGCGGGGCTGACTTAGGTGGGCCCAATCAGAAGCTTGCTGGGTAACGAGGAGCCGGCTACGCCCCCAGGCGGGGCCGACACTGGCAGGCCCAATCAAGAGCTCAGTGGCTAACAAACGCGCTCTCATCTTCGCACCGGAGCGCAGCCCCGCCGAGGCCCAATTGGAGGCTGCGGGGCGCGCAGCTTAGGGGCGGGGCCTGGGATCTCCCCGCCCCCTCCACCTCCCTCCAGGACCTCGAGGGCTCCGCCGGCTCCGCCCCCGCGCCAGGCTGGGCGGTGATTGGGCGGCGCGCGCGGTGCGGCGCTAGTTGCTGGGCCGGCGGTGGGTGGGGCCGGCGGACCGGCCGGGAGAAAGGCGGGGCGGACGGCGGTTGGCGAGGAGGAGGGCGCAGCCCCCGGTGCGAGCACCGGTCCTCGTTGACAGACTCTGCTTCCGGCCGCGTACGGGAGGCGGGCCGGCTGAGACGGCCGCTTGGCCTCCCTCGTCACTCACCCGCGCGCTCTCTCCCGGCGGCCTGAGGAGGCGGAGGTCGCGGCGGGCGGGCGGAGGCGCTCCTTCCCCGGCGGCGCGGCGGGGGCAGGACAATGGAGGTGGCTGTGGAGAAGGCGGTGGCGGGCGCGGCGGGCCCGGCGGCGGCCTCCGGGGGGCCGGCGGCGGCGCCGAGCGGGGAGAACGAGGCCGAGAGCCGGCAGGGCCCAGACTCGGAGCGCGGCGGCGAGGCGGCCCGGCTCAACCTGTTGGACACTTGCGCCGTGTGCCACCAGAACATCCAGAGCCGTGCGCCCAAGCTGCTGCCCTGCCTGCACTCCTTTTGCCAGCGCTGCCTGCCCGCGCCGCAGCGCTTCCTCATGCTGCCCGCGCCCTTGCTCGGCTCTGCCGACACCCCGCCGCCCGCGCCGGCGCCCGGATCGCCGCCCGGAGCGTCGCCCTTCGCCACCCAAGGTGAGGGGTCGCCGCCCGGGGAGCAGGGGGCGGCAGCGACCCGTGCTCTGCAAACCGCTCAGACCGTCCTGTCGCCAGTGCTCCCCGCCGCGTCCCCAGAGCTTTGTCCGAGTCCATGAGATTCCAATCGTCGTGTGTAGACCCGCGTTGTTGGAGCTGGAGGGGGAGGGGAAGGAGGAGGATTCGGGCATGGGGACTTTGTTTGATGATTGATTGCAGAGTGGATGCCGTCTGTTTCCTATCTTGCACGTTTGGGTCCGTTACCTCCTTGAGTCCCCTCCGATGGGGACAAAGGAACCAAGAGACGGGGTTTTGTTGTCTTTATTTTGAGAGACCGAAGAGGAATGGAACAATCCAGAGCGATTTGAGGTGCCGGGTTTTCTTGTGTTTTGTAGATCACAGCTGGAAATGTTGAAGTTACAGTTGTTCTCTTTTTGTGATGTTTGTTACTGTGTAATGAGACTTTTGACAGGCAGTTCTCACTGCTAAGGTTAACAGGTTTGAAATACTGATAGTAAGTTACAAGCACAGTGATTATTTCTTCTAATAGACTTGTTGTTGATGTCAAATAAATTCCCACTCGTGGCGACCCCATGTGTGCAGAATAGAACTGCACCATCGGATTTTCAAGGCTGTGACATTTTGGTGCCTCTGGGGTTTTTAAGATTTAATATTGAAAATACTTGAACACCTCTTTTTAAAAAGTACAAAGTAACTGGGAAAATTACTTTTAATATTGTTGAAAAGAAAACTTTGATCATTAAGTCGATTGAAGTTAACAGGGTTTACTAAGTGAGAAACTATTCACAAACTGGGGACATCCCAAACTAAAAATGGTGAGGGGGCTTGAGTTTAGGCAGTTAACATTGCTCTTTGCTCTGATTGGTTAATCACATTTAATTTTTTTCTTTTGGGAAAGTTGGTCACTGAATGCTAAGGTGGTTTATCTTAATTGTATGAATGTTGTTAACTCATGCTGATAAGTATTGCTAATGCCTGCTTACTTATGCTGATAAGGAAAACTTGTCTAAATTTAGATTCTGCATAAAGTTGTTTTTTATGGTCTAATTTTTGTTTGGTTCTTGACCCAGGGAAGCCATTTTAATTCTTGCCTCTATAAAAACGTGTAACAACACTCCCTTTTGATCATCTCTTCAGTAGTGTTTCCTGAAGATGTGACCAAATCGACATGTTGCTCAGTCTCCCTCAGGCGAGTCCTTTTCTTTTTAATTTGTTTTGTTTGCACACGTATATGACATCTCAGCATCTATGGCTTCTTTGCTACATCTTTGTTGTTACAGAGGAATGGCAGTGATTTGTTGAATGTGAGACTGTTGGAGAACATTTAAGACTTTTGAGGAAACACATCTTTTTAGGGAGATTATTACAAGAACTATAATGAGGGTAATTCTTAGAGCCTGGAAGATTCCTCTGAGTCAAGGGCCCTGTGGTCTTAGATTAAATCCACTGAAAAGATCAAATGGGTTAGAATTTTTTAGCCAGTTTGCATTTTTTTGTATTGCTTGTATTTCTTTTTCTACTAAACTAGAGTTATTTATGTAAATACAACAGGAAGTATTGGTTACAGAACATACACCACCTTGTTCTGTGAGTAGGTAATCTCTGGCTATTATATTATCTAGTACTGCTTTAGCAAGAGAGTTCAATTGTTGCTTTGTAATTTGGTTTTGCAGTTGATACTGCCTGTCATAATCTAATTGAAGCATTTTTTTCCTATTATTAGAATAATGTTAAGATTATTAATAGGGAGGTCAGTTTGGGATTCATTATATATGATACAGTGAGACAGTAGAATTAACAATATAATGGATTAGGCAGTTATTTCTTAATGCTGCTGTAACAGAAATACCACAGGTGGGTGGTTCTAAAAAATAGAAAGTAGTTTTCTCATAGTTTAGGAGGCTAGAAGTTCAAATTCAAGGCACCGACTCTAGAAGGTTCTCTCCATATCATCTCTTAGGGAAACTCTCTTTGACTTTCTGTAGACCTGGCATTCCTTGACCCCTTGGCGATCTCTACATGGCATGTGTCTTAGTCATCTAGTGCTGCTACAACAGAAATACCACAAGTGGATGGCTTTATCAAAGAGAAATTTATTTCTTCACAGTAAAGTAGGCTAAAAGTCCAAATTCAGGGCGTCAGCTTCAGGGGAAGGCTTTCTCTCTCTGTCGGCTTTCTCATCAATGTTCCCCCGGATAGGAGCTTCTCTGCGCAGGGACTCCAGTCCAAAGGACGCACTCTGCTCCCAGCACTGCTTTCTTGATGGTATGAGGTCACCAACTCTCTGCTTGCTTCCCTTTCATCTCTTGAGAGAGAAAAGGTGGTGCAGGCCACACCCCAGGGAAAATCCCTTTACGTTGGATCAGGGATGTGACCTGGGTAAGGGTAGTATTACAATCCTACCCTAATCTTCTTTAATGTAAAATTACAATCACAAAATAGAAGACAACCACACAACACTGGGAATCATGGCCTAGCCAAACTGATACACACATTTTTGGGGTACACAATTCAATCCATGACAGCATGTATCTTCCCTTTTATTTGTGCTTTTTTTGCTTATTGTATTTTTATGCATGTTGCTGTAAAAAAAGTTTAGCATAGTGCACTTATGAACATAATCTTGTGCTCGGGGAGGGTGCAGTTGGCAAAAAATGTGTAATGAGTTAATTTGAGTAAAAATACGATAGTCTCCTTTTATGTCTCGAAAGTGGCTAGGTTTTAGACATACCCAACACTAATATGGTCTCATCAACATAACAAAGAAAACCCTGTTCCAAGTGGGATTACATCCACAGGTGTAGGGTTTACAATTTACAACACATGTTTTTGAGGGACATAGTACAGTCCATAACAGCAATGAAGAAGCATCCTGGGAAGAAGTATGAGAAACCAGGTGGATATCAATTCGTGATGTTGGGTAGAAGCTGTCCATTTCATGACATTATCTACTTGATATGCTGTCTTGGGATAGCTGTCTGCTTGCAGTGAGAGTGTACTTCTGGTGTATGGTGATCTTGAGCGAGTTTAAATTTTAAGTCAGTTAAAGGCTGTTGAAAAGTCAAAGTCTTTATTCTGTAAAAAGCAAAGAGTTTTATTGAAGGAATTGAACAGCTCGAGCTGGGCAGCACAAAGTGAAAGTACTAAGTGCTCCACTGAGATGGGGGTAAAGAGTGTTTTTATACAATGCAGCCAACAACTCTTTTATCAGCTGATCTTGTTTGTGACATGCATTTACAAACATTTTCTGAGAACATTCTGACCACAATCTGCTCAAGCATTTTCAAAACTATTTTTACAGCCTCTTCCTGGAACACTCTTATCACATGTCTAACCGCGTTCTTGCTTCTTCATTTCTTAATCTAAAGTGGTTAAAATTTTACAAGAGTGGAAAATTTTCCAAAGACAGAAGTAGAGGCCTAAAGCAAAATGGAGTTCAGTTCAGACCTGTGCCGGCCATTCCAGTTATGTCGAGTGCCTCAAGTTTTAGGGTGCTCTCACACAAGTCTCACAGGACGAAATCTGAGAAAGGGTTCTTTTTAGTTGGAAGCCATGTACCCAGGGACCTATGCTGTCATGTTTCACTGTTGTGTGAGTTATGGGCAAGGCTTGGAACGGTCCTTTTCAGTGATGCTTTCCTGATATGTGGATTTAATAGCCATGAGTGCCAAAGGTAGTACTTTTGGCCAGGGTAGATTTAGAGATTTCTGAGAGCTTTGGTTTATGCTGTTACTGTGAGTAAGTAGTAAACTACCCTTGATCTCTGACCATGGAGTGTCTTGTGTCTTCTGCCAGCATCCATGAAACTGTTGTATGCTTATTTGTTAGCCTGCAAGTAAAGTAAAATCTTAGATCCTTTAAACTACTTGTTGGAGAGTTAGCACAGGCGAAACTTAAATCTTAGTTCTTAACTTTCAGACATATTCTCAGGTTTGTATTTTAAATGGTTAAATAGGCTAGTAGCCAATTCGGATCTGAATTTTGCATAACTCTAAACTTAAAATTTATCGGGTGCCAGGCCATGACATTTGGACCTGAAGGAATGAGAACATGAGTAATAAAAGCTCTGATCCTCAATTCTGAAACTAGTTTGCAGTTCCATTTCCAGACTTTTCAAAACGTTCTAAGTAATTCCAGTCTGCAGATATTCTTATCTTTGTATTTATGTTGTAAGTGAGAGTTCAAAGAAAGCATTTAGATCGAAGATATATGTATGTTTTTTAATATTAAGAAAAAGACTAACAAATTATACTTTAAAATACACCTCTAAAAAAGGCTAGGGTTCTCTTCAGTAAATTAAAAATACTGTTCTGAGTCTTAGTACTTGGGTATTTTCTCTCTTTTCCTTGTGAACTGATTTTCATATTAGCGGAAGCAGAAGTTTAGACAATACTTGCAGAACTCAATAAACGTGCTTCATTTGATTGTCTCTGCCCTTCATTTTTCTAATGAACTTGTGCATACAGGCATCATGGGTCAAACTACAATATCTACAGGGGCTAAGCACATATAGAGTTGGTGAACTGTCAGCCTGGAGGTAAAATAATAGGGAACGGTGGGGAGTGACAAGGGGAGGCAAACTGCCTAGCTCTAACACATTGTCATGTGAGTTCAGAGCCAGTGCTGAAGGTGCTTCTTTTTTTCTTTAGTGAGAAGCCTAAAGTCCAGATTTTTGTGTAAAATTTCTCTAGTATACCCACTCGTTAATCGACTGTCTTGTTATCTGACGTTTCACATTTACGATAGTAGTAAAAAACCTAGTATCTATTGCATATGTCTGGCAGTAACGAACACTGAGGTACGAGGCAAGAGTAACACTGGCTATGATGGTTAAGGTTATGTGTCAGCTTGGATGGGCCATGATTCTCAGTGGTTTGGCAGTTATGTAATGATGTAATTGGCAGTTATATAATGATGTAGTCATCCTCCATTTTTGATCTGATGTGGTCATCCATTTTTGCATAACACTGATTTTCACA